ACACAATGCCTTGCATGTGGAAGTGCTCAGTAAACAGTGGGCTGTGGTTGTTCAAAGTCTCCACCAGTCCATCCGTTTTTGTTTTCTTATGTCCTGAAGTATATAAGAGTCTAACACTGTCTTATAGATACTTCCGTATGTAGCAACCTTGTTTATCCAAGAAGACCTGTTAGTTCCTTGCCGGCAAAGGGCCATATCTTAAAATTATTTTCTATTTCATAGTGTTTTTATTCTATATTAGGCATATAAGAGGGGCTTGGTAAGTTTTTAATTATTGGTTGGACTCTTTCTAAAAGAAAGTTTAAGTTTTATAAAAAATATTTCAAGTGAGGGGACTCAAGTGCCACACTTTTGTGACTTTTGCTATCCTTACCAAAATGAAAATGTTAGTGGCTGATAAAATGCCTTCGTTTATATCTCTCAAGGTATGTAAATCACAAACCCCACTTGCTGACTCTGTGCCCCCATCTGTCATGCTTTACCACAATGGTGAACAACAGCTTTGAATTATGCTAAATGTCAACCTTGCTGCCCATTAGTTGATTGCTTTCCATTCTGTAAATACAGGAGTTATGCAGAATTGATTGTATCAAAGTGATATATTTCAGGTTGCAGTATAATATCTTATGCACCTTGAATGCCTTGAAATTTCTATAAACACAGGTTTTGTAATTGTATGTGGTTTCTTAAAGTCTTGGCTCTTTTCCAACGGTCTCTTTTTTCATTTCCCCTAATACCATCTTATGTTCTTAAACCCTATCTGGTTAGGCAGCTCAGCCAAAATTCTAATACTCATTAATCAGTGAGGGTATTAAATGCCCCAGTAAAGCATCAATCATGTTGTATTAGCCATTGGAACTTACTTTTTGTTGGAAGACATAAGTGTTTTCTTTTTAAGGATATCACTTCCACACGTTAGACTGAAATATGTGGAGGTTATTGATCTATGACGTTTCCACTCATTTCAAGTTTTCAGCTTCAGTTTGTTCCCATGTTGAGGGTCAGCCACGGTGGATTGGTTATTGACCACCCATGTCTTGCAGTGACAGTTTAAGATCTGGACCAATCCTAACTTTAAAAATGTTTTTCTACCCCATAGTCTCTTGCCCAAAGCCTCCTACATCTGATAAACAAGTTGAGCCAAGTTTCAGGATTCAAAAATCACTATAAAAAAATCAGTAACATTTCTTTACACCAGTAACGTGCAAGCTGAGAGCCAAATTAGGAATGCAGTCCCATTCACAATAGCCGCAAAAAGAATAAAATAATAGGAATACAGCTAACCAGAGAGGTGAAAGACGTCTACAATGAGAATTGTAAAACACTGCTGATAGAAACCAGAAATGATGCAAATAGAATACATTCTATGCTCATGGATAGGAAGAATCAATACTGTTAAAATGGCCATGCTGCCCAAAGCAATTTTTAGATTCAATGCTATTTTTGTGATATTTTTCATGGAATTAGAGAAAAAAAACTATTGTAAAATTTTTCTAAATTTTTTTTTTTTTTTTTTTTTTTTGAGACGGAGTTTCGCTCTTGTTACCCAGGCTGGAGTGCAATGGCGCGATCTCGGCTCACCACAACCTCTGCCTCCCGGGTTCAGGCAATTCTCCTGCCTCAGCCTCCTGAGTAGCTGGGATTACAGGCACGCGGCACCATGACCAGCTAATTTTTTGTATTTTCAGTAGAGACGGGGTTTCACCATGTTGACCAGGATGGTCTCGAGCTCTTGACCTCGTGATCCGCCCACCTCTGCCTCCCAAAGTGCTGGGATTACAGGCTTTAGCCACCACACCCGGCCAATTTTTCTAAATTTTAAGGAAATTTGTAGAAAAACTTTTTGGAACCAAAAGAAGAGCTCAAAATAGTTAAAGCAGTCCTAAGCAGAAAGAACAAAGCCAGTGGTATCACACACTTGAATTCAAACTGTGCTACAAGGCTGTAGTAACCAAAACAACATGGCACTGGTTAAAAAAAAAAAAAAAAAAAAAAAAAAAAAAAAAAAAAAGACACACCAATGGAACAGGTTAGAGAACCCAGACACAAAGGTGCACATCTACAATCATCTGCTCTTTGACAAAGCCGACAATAATAAGCAATAGGGAATGGACTTCCTATTTGGAAAATGTTGCTGGGAAAACTGGCGACCCTATGCAGAAAATTGAAACTGGACCCCTTCCTTTCACCATGTACAAAAATCAACTCAAAATGGATTAAAGAATTAAATGTAAACCCTAAAACTATAAAAACCCTAGAAAAAAACCTAGGAACTACCATTGTGGATATTGGCCTTGGTAGAGATTTCATGATGAAGATTTCAAAAGCAATTGCAACGAAAACGAAAATTGGCAAGTGGGACTTGATTACAGTAAAATAAAGAGCTTTTGCATAGCAAAAGAAACTATCGACAGAGTAAACAGGCAACCTACAGAATGAGAGAAGATATTTGCAAACTATGCATCTGACAATGGTCTAATATCCAGAATCTTTAATAAGGAACTTAAAACAGCAAGCAAAAGCAAACAGCCCCATTAAAAACTGGGCAAAGGACGTGCACAGACACTTCTCAAAAGAAGACATACACGTAGCCAACTACCATATGAAAAAATGCTGAATATCACTGATCATTAGAGAAATGCAAATCAAAACTATAATGAGATAACCATCTCATACCAGTCAGAATGGCCATTATTAAAAAGTTAAAAAATAACAGATGCTGGGGGAGTTGTGGAGAAAAGGAAACACTTAGCACTGCTGGTGGGAATGTAAATTAGTTCAGTCACTGTGGAAGCATTTTGGAGATTTCTCAAAGAACTTAAAACAGAACTACCATTCAACCCAGCAGTCCCATTACTGTATATATACCCAGAGGAATATAAATTGTTTTACCATCAAGGTGCATGTGTATATTCATCACAGTACTATTCCCAATAGCAAAGGCATGGAACCAACCTCATACCCATCAACAGTGGACTAGATAAAGAAAATGTGGTACATACACGCCATGGAATACTATGCAGCCATAAAAAAGAATGAAATCATGTTTTTGCAGCAACATGAATGAAGCCAGAGGTCATTGTCCTAAGTAAATTAATGCAGAAACAGAAAACCAAATACCACATGTTCTCACTTGTGAGTGGGAGCTAAACGTTGAGTACACATGGATGCAAAGAAGTGAACAATATATGCTGGGGCCTGCTTGAAGGTAGAGGGTAGAAGGAGGATAAGGATGAGAAAACTACTTGTCAGGTTCCATGGTCATTACCTGGGTGACAAAATAATCTGTGCATTAGACTCCTGTGATACACAATTTTCCCATGTAACAACCATGCACACATACCCCCTGAACCTAAAATAAATGTTGGAAAGAGTAAATATGTATATAAATAGATAAATAAAATAATTTTTCTAACTAGCAATTTTCCTAATTATAGAGGAGTTTTCCTTTCCCTTTTTTGATTACATTAAATTGATTCTCTTATACAGGTGTTTCAAAATTATGTTTGTAGAGATGATGCATTTTTATTTACTTTGGTCACTCAAAGTTTTAAGAAGTCTACTTTAAAAAATCATTTACTTGGTACCCTTATTGAGAAAGAGTTTCAAGAGAAACAAACACACTCAAAGATAGGTAATTTTTAGGCCAGGCGCGGTGGCTCAAGCCCGTAATCCCAGCACTTTGGGAGGCCGAGGCGGGTGGACCACGAGGTCAACAGATCGAGACCATCCTGGTCAACATGGTGAAACCCCGTCTCTACTAAAAATACAAAAAAATTAGCTGGACATGGTGGCGCGTGCCTGTAATCCCAGCTACTCAGGAGGCTGAGGCAGGAGAATTGCCTGAACCCAGGAGGCGGAGGTTGCGGTGAGCCGAGATCGCGCCATTGCACTCCAGCCTGGGTAACAAGAGCGAAACTCTGTCTCCAAAAAAAAAAAAAAAAAAAAAGATAGGTAATTTTTAATATCTTAAACAGATATTTATTGTGTGCCTACTATGAGCCAGGCATTTATATGGGTTGAGCTGATAACCATGGTAACTCTATGGTATCCCTCACAGAGTTTCCATTCTAGCTTAGGAACCAGGAATTTTGTTCGTTGCTTGGGCTATAAAAGATAATTTTTGAGCTTTAGATAGAAGTTTAGAGTATTTTGGGGAATGCCAATCAGATGAAAACAACAGTCAAATGCTATCATTTGTATAAAAACAGAAGGTTTTTTGAAGCAGCTCTTCTTCTGCATAGCGGATTCATTGGCCCTCTCATCTAACTTCCTGGAATTCGACATAGCAGTGACTTTTCTTCCTAAAAAGATGGGGAGTCTAGAATAGAGGGCCTTTCAGGAGTAAAATCAAGAAAAGTGACAAAGGACCTGTATGCTGGGCAGCTGTGCTGTCCTATTTCTTCCAAGATCAGATTTTCATTATTTCAACTCAGTGATTTTTCTTTATCTTTAGACCTATATGATGTCCACAGACTTGTATTTTTTTTTCTCACCTTATTTTCTAGTAAAGTTTTGGAGCCAGCAGCAGTGGTTTCCCTGTCTTGCTCCAGCCTCTCTCTGGGTTGACATCTCTTTCTCTGTCTCTCTCTGTAGTTATGAATCCAGGTATTGCTACTTACAAATCTTACAAGCTTCTACTTTCTATGATGTTTTCATTTACTTAAATTGTATATTTTTCCTTTTATGCTTCTAATGGGATGACAGAACTCATTGAAGTATAAGAGGTCAGTGTTAATACTTTGAATGAAATAGATTCTTTACATTAATAAAAAACTGTATGAACAATTTGAATTTTTAAGTGCTTGAATTTTTATGAAGATCTTATCCTGGAGTGTGTGTGCCCCAGAGCATGCCCCTTCTATAAAGACTAAAAAGAAAACTACGCATGCCGAAGAGAATTCCCAGTTTGAGAAGAAGCTGTGAGATTCTTGATATGTGCATTCTTTTCAGAATTGAAGCATAGTGTTTTGACGCATTTATCTTCTTTGGTGTTTCAGGTTGACCACAACATGGATATCAATACTGAAGAAGAAGATGATGGGGAATTAGCACTGTGGTCTCCCGAAGTCAAGATTGTTGAGCTAGTAAAAGATCGTAAAGGTTTGGGATTCAGCATTTTGGATTACCAGGTATAAGAACCTGTATAGAGGTGTTTTCTCTGGAGTGGTTTATGTTAAAGTTATGTGAAGTCGTAATTCTTTAAGACACCTATTGACTTAAGCAAAACTGAATCCCAAAGATGGAATATTATACTACTTCCTTTTTTTTTTGAGACGGAGTATCGCTCTTGTTACCCAGGCTGGAGTGCAATGGCGCAATCTCGGCTCACCACAACCTCTGCCTCCTGGGTTCAGGCGATTCTCCTGCCTCAGCCTCCTGAGTAGCTGGGTGCCACCATGCCCAGCTAATTTTTTCTATTTTTAGTAGAGACGGGGTTTCACCATGTTGACCAGGATGGTCTCGATCTGTTGACCTCGTGATCCACCCGCCTCGGCCTCCCAAAGTGCTGGGATTACAGGCTTGAGCCACCCCACCTGGCCAGTTATACTACTTTCCATTGTTATCATTAAAATTAGTAGCTCCCTTAGTGAGTAAAGTGATGGTTTATATAGGAGCTGGACAATAAGGGAAGCAGTAATTATATATCCATGGGTACTTTTAGAGATGGGAACTTGAGGAACTTGTTTATATGGAGGAATTTTGTTCCTTAGCTTTATTCAGATATATTTCGCATACCGTAAAAGTCACCCATTTTAAGCATTTAGTTCAGTCGTTTCTAGTATATTCACAGAGTTGTGCAACCATCACCACATTCTAATTTTAGAATATCTTCAACACCCAAAAAAGAAATCCTGTACACATTAGCATTTGTTCCCAATTCGTACTCTCCCTCCCTGTCACATGAAGGTTTGTAGTTTAGCTTACCTATTAATTTCAGTGTGCTTAAATAAATAGAAATGTTCTTGGTCAAGTCTTATATTGCATTTATATTAATACATAATATGTATTTATATACTTATAGCTACTCCAATTATAACTAGGGTAAAGTTACTGATACATTTGGGGGAGGGAGATGTAAAAGGTCACAACAAGACATCTATATGTTATACAATTCTACCAGTTACTGTCATATATTTAGCCTGCTGATTATTTGGGAGAATTAAAATTGTTGCCAAGAAATCCCTTAACTTTTAAGATGCATATTTTACTACTTTAGTGCTGCCTAGACACATTGTGGTTTAGTAAAGCAAAATGTACTCTATTAAAGCACATAAAATGCCAAGTGATATTAAAAAATCAATTTTTAAAAAATATAATAAGGCAATCAGGAATAGATTAAAAGAAAAATAGTTTGAGTGCTATATAGGAATATTACATTCTATTTTTTTTTTTTTTTTTTTTTTTTGAGATGGAAGTCTTGCTCTGTTGCCCAGGCTAGTGTGCAGTGGCACAATCTCAGCTCACTGCAACCTCCATCTCCCAGGTTCAAGCGATTCTCCTGCCTCAGCTTCCTGAGTAGCTGGGATTACAGGCATCCACCACTATACCCGGCTAATTTTTGCATTTTCAGTAGAGACAGGGTTTTACCATGTTGGCTAGGCTGGTCTTGAACTCCTGACCTCAAGTGATCCGCCTGCTTCAGTCTCCCAGAGTGCTGGGATTACAGGCATGAGATACTGTGTCTGGCCTAAAGTCTATATTTTGGCAGTGTGATTTAAGTTTACTGAAATAGATATCTATTTCATTTTTGCTGGCATATTTCTGTGCCAGATAACCCTCTTCCTTATTAGAACTTCTCTTTGGAATATTACTAAATGATAAATTGTTGATTCCAAATATTTTGGGAAATACTTTTATCCAAAAATCTGAACACAGTTAAGCTTTTGAAAGTTTAGATATTGGTTAATATTAGAGTATATAAAACAAATGGTGGGGACTCTTTTTTTTCCCTCCCCATTACAGCTATATTACCTAGAACCACTAGGTGGTTGATAAATATTTGCAAAATGATTTAATAAAGTTTAGGTTAGCTAAAATGAGGCTTGACCTGTATTTTTATTTTTATTTTTCTGTTTTGAGCCAGAGTCTCACTCTGCCACCCAGGCTGGAGTGTAGTGGTGCAATCTTGGCTCACTGCAACCTCTGCCTTCTGGGTTCTAGTAATTCTTTTGCTTTAGCCTTCTGAGTAGCTGGGACTACAGGCACATATCATCATGTCTACCTAACTTTTCTATTTTTTGTAGAGGTGGGGTTTCACCATGTTGGCCAGGCTAGTCTCAAACTCCTGACCTCAAGTTGTTTCCCCTGCCTCAGCCTCCCAACATGCTGGGATTACAGGTGTGAGCCACTGCATCCAGCCTACGTTAGCCAAAATTAACTGGAATTGAATGAACAAATTTAGTGGGAATTTGTTAATAATTGATTTTGACAATTGGGATTTAATTTAGAAGACATCTTTCAGATGTGGTTTTAGATATTCAGATATGTCTCCACTTCTATTATTGCAAGAATCTATATATATTTTCATTCTTACATAATACATATTTATATCATAATGGTTGCTCTGATGCCCTTAAATTACAGTATTAAATTTTATATTTTGAATAGTGCACATATTAAGGCAGGGAAATGTTTCAGAACTTAAAATTCGATAAAGGATGGAAAGAAAAACTAGATGATCCTTAAGAACTTAATCACTACTTAACAGGAAAACCCCCTTCTGAGCTTTACACTTAAAAATACATATAGTCAGTTCTAACTGTAGAATTTTTTGTTCTTCATTGCATTCCAATAGGTATGTATTGTAACTTCTATTGCTTTTTTGAAATTTTATTTTAAATTTATAAAATTCTGGGATTTTCCTTTTCATCTCATTTACCTCACAATCAGCACATACATACTGACAATTGTTTCTGTACAAATTATGTAATTTTCTGCCAACAAAGGATTAGATCTTCTTTCTGTCTTTGTGCTTCATAGTTGATAACTACTTTGATTGAAATTAAAGGGCTCATCTTACTTACTTCTACCGGCTAAACCTTGGGGCGGGGAGTGGGGGTTACATTCAATCCTAACTTGAATGTTTTTCTTAAGTCAGTCTTAAGTATACTTAGAGATGTGTACAGCACGTTTTTACCATTTGTCAGTGGTACCTAGAACTATTATCTACTGTGACATTTAGATGACAGGTAAACACAATTCAAATTTGGTTTTGGACAAGTTAATTAATGTGTTATACTGTCCCTTGTTGTAATTAGGTAATAAATTCTAAAGTTCAAAAATATTTTTTGCAAGGCCGGGCAAAGGTTTAGCAAAAGCCATGAAAGGCCACGTCCCTGGCTATTATTGTATTCGGTGTGTGCTGTATGAATTTATTAGGTAGCTGAGCAGGGCCAAGGCAGATTAGGTATAGTATGTTTAGAACAAAAAGTACTGCAGAAACATTTAGCTACAGAGAGAAAATGTTAGTAGAGTGGAAGAACTTTTAGGTTATAGAGGGCTTACTTAGCAATATTGAAGAGATTGAAAATTTACTTTGGAATATTTCATTTTAGTTAACCACTTTTCTCATGAACAGCCTTTTCTCTAGAATAAGAACTTCTTGAAAAGCCTAACAAAATTACATGCATCTATTTCACTGGTGTTTATGTAACCTCCTCACTTATAAAATAGAGGTGCTAATCTCTAGCACAAAGGATTGTGTGGATTAAGTGAATTCGTGTGTAAGAAAATAGGAAATGTTATGTTATTATGGAAATGTATTAACAATTACTCAGTTTAGAAAACAAACATAAAAGTTTTGATAATGTCTTCAAAGATAGCACCACCCTATAATGTTTATACTCTATCCATTTTTAACTCTCTAGATTAGAAAAAAATAATTAGATGCCTTTGTTTAGTGAAGTCTAAATTTAATTTTAAAATCGCATTCTAAAATGCAGCCAATTCTTGATAAGCTGTATGTCAATTACCCAGTTGTGGATTATTGGCCAGAAGTTTGCTTTTTATATAAATTGAACTGAACTTTAGAAAAAGAGGTCAGGGGGCATTGGCTCACACCTATAATCCCAGAACTTTGGGAGGCCAAAGTGGGCAGATTGCTTGAGGCCAGGAGTTCGAACCAGCCTGGCCAACATGGTGAAACCATATTTGTCTATACTAAAAAATACAAAAAATTAGCTGGGCGTGGTGGTGCACACCTGTAATCCTAGCTACTTAGGAGGCTGAGGCAGGAGCATCCCTTGAGCCTGGGAGGCAGAGGTTATGGTGAGCTGAGATTGCACCACTGCACTCCAGCCTGGGTGACAGAGCCAGATTCTGTCTTTTAAAAAAAAAGGGTGGGGTAGGGGTAAGATGAGTGAGCAGTTAAAGGAGCTTGCATTAGTCTATAGAACAATAGGGTAGCTCTCCAGACAGGTCAGTGACTCAGAATATTGATGGAGGTTGTGTAGCTGAGTAGAGGAAAGAGGTTTACCTTTATACCTGAAATGAACAGTTGAGTGATACACAGTTCTACAACTCAATCATGTGGCCAAAGTACAAAGTGTGACAATTCATTTCATGAAAGGCCCTTTCAATTAGATTGGATCAAAGGCAAAAGAGAAAGCAACAAGGAAGACAGTAAATATGATTAGGTCGTAAGTTTCTTTCTTAGATTTTATGGTACAGGTAGTAGCTTTGTTGGCTATTATTTGAAGAGGTAGAATATTTGTTAATCTCAAATATGCCTAACCACTCCAGACAGTGCTAGTTAAAATCCCACTCTGAATGTCTGCCATATTAGAAGATTCACTGATCCATATCATGCCTTACAGGATTGTGTCATGGCAAACAATGGTATGTAATTTGCCAAGAGCATTAATATTATGGCTTGACTCTGTTTCTAAGCAACAAAACTCTTCAGAAATTTGGTTGTAAGTTTTTATACTGTAATTTCTTGCCTGTTTGTAGGTGAGGTTTTTATATTATGCCTTAATTATCTCTGTCTTGTTTCCCTAGTATTAATGTGTAATGCCTGTATTCCTTAGACTATCATCTCTGTGGAAGATTACTTATACACACACTAGTATTAATACCAATGTTGGGTAACATTTATTGAGTGTTTACTGAGTGCTAGATAATGTTCTAA